TGCAAGCCACCACAAATCATAATTAAAAAATTATTTTTCGCCAAAATCATACCAGCAGCAACACTATCCAAATAATTAAAAAAAAATCCCCACCCTAACCCTAAACCCGCCTAAGCCTACACTCTACAGCCACCACAAACCCAGCCTAAGCCACGCACCACCACCACCACCACCACCATCACACACGCACAGCCACACCCACCACACGCACCACTAGCACCATCACTACCCAAAAAATTAAAAAATAATTTCCTCTACGTACCTTATGAAATCTTCAACGTTTGGTTTATATGGTTAAATTCGACCTAAAAAACCATTAAGTGATAGTGGTCGAATCCGATCAAAAGCCCTGGGGGTGGGTGGCGCTGGACTTCAAAAACCAAGGAGAGAGAATGAGAAGGGAGGAGGGAGGCAGAGATTAGAGAGAAAGAGGGAGGAGGGAGGTGGAGGTGATAGAGAGGAGAGAGAATGAGAAGAGCAGGCTGGGTTTTTAAAAAATAATTAAAAGATTCATTTTTTAAATAAATTCTTAAGAAAAAAAAAGAGTCATGGTCCCTAAACTCTTGCTTAGTCATCAAAGTCCCTCAACTTTTGACTGACAAACACTAAAGAAGGTTGTTGAGGGACTAAAAGGGCACAAAATAGTTTAGAGGGATTAAAACGGCACAAATACGATAGTTTAGGGACCGTATTTAGTCTTTACTCGAATTTTTAAGCTATTGACATACATTCTACTTTGATTAGTTTTTGTGATTTATAGTTACGATAAATCATATTCATGTGGGATTTTAAATAAACGTATTGCTTTTAAATAATATGGAGACACTTGTATTACAATTAATAAAATATGTCAACTAACAATTGGCTTGACATTGAGAGGGAGGGATAGTTCAAGTGGTTTGAGCTTCCCTCCCGGTTCCAAGATATGCTGGGATCGATTCTCACCCCCGCCCTTGGGGCTCTCTAAACACCCAAAAAAAAGAAAAAAAAAACCCAATTGGCTTGACATTTGATTACATGGGGTACTCTAACATAAATTGAGTCCAAGTGACCATAAACTCTAAGATAGAGAATCATAAAAATCGTATATTAGAATGGATAAGATCCATGAAAATGGAGACAAATTAGAGTTGATTCGAATAATACAAGACATGTGGGCAAGGCAATAAGTAACAGAATACATGAAAATGTGGGCATATACCCATGCATTTTGATTCGCCTGCTCCTTTAATTGATTATATCATTTATTTTCTGTAAGAAATTAGTGACTTAAATTCGGAAATACAGCTAACAACATCAAATTTATTATTTGCTGTATCACTCATCATATCCATATATAGTACTTTATTCCACATTTGGGTAGCCGTTGGTCCAATCGTGATCTATAAAATCTTCCCAAAATAATGCCTCATGTACTACTATTTTTTCAAAAAAAAAACAAATTATTATACATTCATTATAAAGATAGCCTAAAGTGATTTAAAATTTACCCTTAAAATGAATCTTGGCCCTGCCCCCTCACTAAAAAATTCTGGCTCCGTCACTGCCTATGCAAACAATGAGACTGGGTGTGTTATATACGAGTCTGGGTTGCATTTGTCATCAAGAGAGAGAGTCCACTTCACAAGATTTCATCCCAAAATCATATGCTAATAGGAGAAGTCTTTTAACCTTATAAAGTGTTTAACTCTCTTAATTATTAATAATTTAGGACACATATAATTATTTTGAAAGACTATGCATCAACATGTATGGTGACTTGTTAGTAGGGTCATTTTCCTAATCTATCTATCTATCTATATGACTTTAACTAAAGTAATTATAGTTGATATCATTACTGTCCACATGTCAATATCTCATAAAAAAGTTTTCTAGCTAAAACTTGACATTATTTTTTTAAAGATAAATAGAGTTTTGAAAATGTTAAATTAATTATACATTTTTTTTAAAAGATTTTTTATATTTAAATTGACTAACTACACAATTTTTAATAGAGTAAAAAAAAGATGGTTGTACTATTTCATTTTTCTCTAAACATTTTCTTTCCTCCTACTCCGTATATTTTGTATATATAGATTGTATGAATTTGGGGTTTTCATCACTATTTTTTTTGGTGTTTAGAGAGCCACAAGGGCAGGGGTGAGAATCGATTCCAAGATCTCTTGGAATCGGGAGGGAAGCTCTAACCACTTGAGCTATCCCTCACTCTTTATTAATTCATCAATTTATTATATTTTACTCAATTATTTATACTGTAATTGCGTATTACACGTAAATAAGACAAAAAAATTATTGTTAAAATCGTGCATTGTACCAGCCTAACTAACCTATAACTACTTACCAAAACAATTGTGTGTACATGACTGATATGAGTGCTTGTAGGTGTAAGCATATATGACTATTACCGTCAACTATTTGTAGTCTTTTTACAAGTAAGGCCCCGTTCACTTCACCTTATTTTTGCTAAACTAAAATTATTTTTACTGAAACAAAATTATATTTGTTGAATTTAAATTATTTGTTACTGAACTTAAATTGATTTTACTAATCTGAAATTATTTTTACTGATTTTCTATTATAATTCTTCTTTAAGATAACTGAATTTTACTTAAATGAACTTATTTTTACTGAACTGAACTTATTTTTACTGAATTGAAGTTATTTTTACTGATTTAAAATTATTTTTACTTAATACGGAGTATTTTTTTTAAGGTGAAGTGAAAGCGCCTAACACTTTTTTTTTTTAAGAAGAAACTTCCACTTCTAAAGTGATGCGCTACCCTTTCCTTCATTTGGTCCTCAATACCCATTTAGGGTCTGTTCACATTTACTTAATTTCAGTTCACTTCAGTTCAGTTCAGCTCCAATCAGTTCAGTTCAGTTCAGTTCAGCTCCAATCAGTTCAGCTCCAATCAGTTCAGTTCAGTTCAGCTCTTAATTTCCCTCTCTCATAAAATATTTATTTCAGCTCAATTCAATTCAGTTCAGTTTAGTTCAGCTCTAATCAGTTCAGTTCAGTTCAGTTCAGCTCAGTTCAATAAATGTGAACAGGCCCTGAGTGCTTATTGGGTTGCGTTGAAAACTTGGAAATTAAATTCCCTTGTTAATTTACATTTTATATAAAGTAACTTCTTGCATGTATTTCCTAGGAATTTGCAAAACTTATTTGGTTAACATGAGAAAATTTGCATTATTTCATGTGAATTGTGATTGATAGGTAACTAACTTCCCAGGATAGGTTGAACTCAAAATTCTAAGGAAGTTGCATGCAATATCTCCATTTTGCAAATGTCATGTTAACCAAACAACAAGGAATCTAAGCATTTTCTATGAATTTCTATTGCTTATGTCAAATAAGTCGCAACCAAACAAGCTCTGAAATTGTTTATCAATACTCCCTCCATTTCATAATGTTAGGCTCTGTTCTATTCATCTTAAAAAATAATATTAAATAAAAATAATTTTAGTTTAGTAAAAATAAGTTTAGTTCAGTAAAATTAATTTCAGTTTAGTAAAATTAATTTCAGTTCAGTAAAAATAATTTCAGTTCAGTAAAATTCAGTTTTTTTTAAAGAAGAATTATAATAGAAAATCAGTAAAAATAATTTCAGTTCAGTAAAATTCAGTTTTTTTAAAGAAGAATTATAATAGAAAATCAGTAAAAATAATTTCAGTTCAGTAAATTAATTTAAGTTCAGTAAAAATAATTTAAGTTCAGCAAAAATAATTTCAGTTCAGTAAAAATAATTTCAATTCAGCAAAATAAAGGTGAAGAGAATAGGGCCTTAGTCCCATATACTATTTTGGGCGTTTTAAAAAGATCTACCTATGTTCTATTTTTAAATTATTTTTTTGGAATTAATTTGTTGTGAATTGATGACATGATTCTAAGTAAGGAAATCTCTTCCTTGAATTATGCATTATGACTTGTGCTTTCCCAAAAGAAAAATCAAAAACTTAAATAAGGTAAACTAATTATGAGTTATTTTGTACTTTGATGTTAGATTCAAAATATTCTTTTTATCTTATTTTATGTGATTGATTCCATACGAGACTATGGAGGGGTATCTTTTTCGGCATTCATACATTTTTTTTTATTTACAAATTACTCAATATAATTTATCTTATTTGACATCCTAATATTAATTTTTCCAACAAAATACACTAACTAAGCATCCAATATAACTATATAATCCTTAAACTTCATGTGCCACATAACACATAAGGAAAAATAATTGGAGTAAATTCAAAGAAATTATATATTATACTCCGTAATAGAATTTGAGTACATAGTGAAAACTTAAATTTATGATTTATTACTATTTCATATTTAAAATATAAATATATAAATAAATAAATAAAATTCTGAATTCGAAATTTCATTATTTTATTCACTCACTTCGATTTTTGCTATCTTCAATTTCCAATCCAAAATAAATAAAAAAAAAAAAAAAAATCCCAAATCTTTGGAAATCCGATTTTAGGATCTTGTTTAGGGATTGTTGAAATTATTTCATCACCTTTTTCTCTTAAAAAGGTTGGATAATTGTAAGTTGTAACATGCACGTGCAAATGGAGTGCACCCCACTTCAACTTACCCTAATTTATTGGTACCCAAATCACCCCTTAACATAATATTCCTATAACTTTATATTATACAAATATATTAAGTACAAAACCTTTGGCTTAATCTTCAGTCAAGGGTCAATAAATTTTACATTTATATATCACACTATATAATAACATAATAATAATAATATACTGAATCATATAAACATAAGATATTCTTGTTCTTAATTTTTATATATTTTTTTTCACTAAAATCAAAGTTGATTCTGAAGATACCGTATCATATAATGTCTGATGGATATCATTTTCGTCAAATTGTTAAGATTTATGAGATTACATATCATGCATTATACATGTATATATATATATATATATATATCTTTTATTTTCTAATGGAATTTTATAAATACTCATCACTAGTAGATGAACTATTTGCCAATTATTTGTTTTAATTAGTGTTTTCAAACTTTTAAAATTTTTATTCTAAGTTTTTTCTTTATCTCATTACAATGGCTTTGGATGCACAATTTCATGTTCTTGCGGTTGATGATAGCATCATTGATCGAAAATTGATTGAAAGACTCCTCAAATCATCTTCATTTGAAGGTATGTAATTATGTGGTTTTTTTTTTTTTTTCGTGTATTGTCGTGTTCGTGTTACGTGTTATTTTTATTTTTAAGTAACTACACATGATTTTCTCTAGTTACTCGACCATAAATTTAATAAGAAACAGAATTTTCAAAGAAAGGAAAACTTGTTTTTATTTTTTTTTTAATTATTTTATTTTATTTTTATTTTTATCACTAACTAACTATATATTGGTTTATAATTTTTGTTGCAGTGACAGTGGTAGATTCAGGCAATAAAGCTCTGGAATTTCTGGGTTTGCAAGAAGAGACTAACAATGATCATCATGTATGTATTCTTTTATTGTATATATTTTTATTTAATTTGTTTATTAAAATATATGTTTATTTATTCTAATTAATTTTTTTTTATATAGGATATTGAGATTAATTTGATCATAACTGATTACTGCATGCCTGGGATTACTGGTTATGATCTGCTCAAGAAAATCAAGGTATATATAATTTAATAATTGCATTTTAAGCCGTAATTTTATTGTTTTATAATGAAAATCTTTTTATTTTTTCCCTTCTAATTAGCAAAAATAATGTAGGTACTTTATTTACTTCGTATATAATTTGTTACTTTTTTTTTTTCAGGAATCAAAAAATCTGAAAGACATTCCAGTGGTGATCATGTCTTCTGAGAATATTCCTGCAAGAATTAACAGGTAAACATAAATATTTCACAAATTTTTTTAATGTTTTTATATTTTTATTTTTTTTAACCAATTTTTGTATGAATTAATAAAAGTCATACTTATTTTCGGGAAAAAAGTATCATATCAGCTAATTTATAGGTAGTGTAATTTTTAATTTACATCAAAGTATTTCTTATAATTTTGAAAATAGTCATATAAATTAGGGTCTGTTCTCATTGACTGAATTGAGCTGAACTGAACTGAATTGAACTGAACTGAACTGAATTGAGCTGAACTGTACTGAAATGAACATTTTATAAGAGAAGGAAATTAGGAGCTGAGCTGAACTGAACTGAACTGAATTTCAACAAAAGAGAACAGACCCTTAATCTATATATTTCTAATATATTGTACTTGAATTTCCTATTTAGGTGTTTGGAAGAAGGAGCAGAAGAATTTTTTCTAAAACCTGTTCAATTAGCTGATGTTGACAAACTTAAACCACATATCACAAGGTGCAAATCTAAGGAACGTGACTACAACATTAACAAGAGAAAGAGAAACGATGATTGTGTTTCTCCAAACAAGTCAAGGATGAAAATGACTAATAATGATCATGAATTACCTTCTTTCGTTTTAATATGAAGCACTATGTAGATTATCGATCTCTACTTATCTATCATAGTTTAGCTGTCACATTACTAGTTTATTACATATTCACCACGACAGTTGATTTCGAACAAAGAAATAACTTTTTACTTTGAAAATATAAATCATCTTTGGATAGATCTAAATTGATTAATTTATTTAATTTTTCATGTAAGGAAATCTTTTAATTAGGCTTTAAGCGAAAGAGATAAAATATTATGAGATCTTTGGGTCGATGAAGGCGTAATTAGATTGCGGCACATACATGTAATACTTGTATAGAGCTACTTAGCTGGATCAATGTACAAATTACACAATTCTTGCAAGCTTAATGTTTTTTATGTACCGTTACGACTTAATATCTCAAAAACAAAGATTTTCCTTTGATTTTATATACTACCTCCTTAATTATTATCTGCAACTTTGGAATAATTTAAATCTCTCAAATAATACCCCAAAGTTGCAGATAACAATTAACGGAGGTAGTATATGTTGGAGTACCTTTTTTTTTTTTTTTTTTTTTAATATGTCCTATTTTCCAAGAGTGTTTGAAAGATAACAATACAATTACTACTCCGTATTATTTATTTTTTGGATCAAATTAATTACACAAAGTCTTATATTCGGTGTGGCCATCAAGTTAGGGATGACAATCCAGTCCGGATCCGACCCTACTTCGCCCCGATTTGGGGTAAAAAAATTCGCTCCGAGTCCGAGAAAAAAGTAATCCGAGTTCGACTTCGTTAAAATAATCCGACTCCGATTTGAAGGAGGGTCGGAGTCGGATCCTAAATAAAATCCGAGAATAAATCTGACTCTGACAAATGTCCAATTCTGACAGATTATTCGACTTCGACTCCAATAGATAGTGGATTTTTGTGTGGGTCATGGTGTCATTGGGTGTGAGTTGTAAAGGCCCAAATAGCCCAATTTCTCAAAGTATATTGAATAACGAAAAAAAAAATCGGAGTCGGAGTCGGAGTCGGATTTAGCCTCCGACTTCCTGTCTGGTCGGAGTCGGAGTTGGATTTAGCATAATCCGCTCCGAGTCCGACTCGTTGCCATCCCTACATCCAGTATATGGGTTACTTCGTTAGTGTAATAGGGGTTACTTGGTCAGTTTTAAAGAGATAGGTTACTTCACTAATGTTATACTTCGTAGGAGTTAGGCCCTATTCTCTTCACCTTAATTTTGCTGAACTGAAATTATTTTTACTGAACTGAAATTATTTTTGCTGAACTAAAATTATTTTTACTGAAGTTAAATTATTTTTATTGAACTGAAATTATTTTTACTGATTTTCTATTATAATACTTCTTTAAGAAAACTGAATTTTACTGAACTGAAATTAATTTTATTGAACTTAACTTATTTTTAATGAACTGAAATTATTTTTACTTAATATTATTTTTTTAAGGTGAATAGAACAGAGCCTTATTCGGTCATTGTTATAGGGGTTACTTTATTCGTTTATAAGTGGTCACACGATGTGGTCAGCCATACACAAGACGGACTAAATTAATTAATTATAATTTTCATTGGGAATAATCTCCATAAATAAAAAGAATACCTAACCATAATTATCGGATATAATTTATTAGCCTAGGAGTTGTGGAGGACTTAGCTAGACTCCACAAAACAAATGATGTACGTACTTTTTTTTGGCCAAATTAGATGAACTTTTTCATATTATAATAAGTTGTACCTTGCACCGTACCAAGATGCCACCAATGACAATTTTATAATATTCTTAGCAGCTTCTAGGTTTAATTATTAAAGGCAACCACACTCCAAATAATTAAACATAGGCAATTTTTAGATCTATTATGACCATAAATTTCTCCTTGCTTCTATTTCATCTTGATTAACCCTTAGCGCATAGCTCCTATGGATTTAGCAAATATATAGGATGAAAAATGAACCATTACAAGTATATTACTCCGTAGGTGATAGATGGTAATATTTTAGGAAAAAATATTCAACGTATATAATGGTAAAAAGTACCACTGCATGCATAATAGTACACAAAAAGTATTATTCAAACAATTTATATAATAATAGTACATTATATATGCATAATGGTACATTATAATGTACCACTGTAGAATCAACTTTTTCCAAAAGCTTATCAAATTTACAATTTTGCTCTCCTATATGTTTTGTAAACATATAGGAGTTATGCGCCTAGTTGCACTCTTTCATCTTCTTCAACAATCGTAAATGTATAAGAAATTATCGGCTTTGCCATTTTTTACTACGGTTTCCTTGATTTGGTTACGTGTTTATTGACGTTAATAATAAGTTGCTATCTTTAATTTTAATTCTTCTTAGGGGTTATGTTAATAGAAGTGTCTCATGTGTGACAAATGAAACAACTGTTTTTTTTATTGACTATTTAGGGTCTATTCACATTTATTACATACTGAACAGAGCTGAACTGAATTGAACTGAACTAAAGTGATTGAAGCTGAACTGAACTAAGTTGAAATGAATATTTTGTAAGAAAAGGAAATTAAGAGCTGAACTGACCTGAACTGAAATTAAGCTGAAGTGAACAAGACCCTTAGCTTGTTCATTTGATGATGATGATTAAAGAAGATGGAATGAAAAGAACTATGTGTACAATTGAATTAGCTGGAAGCTTGACACTCACTTTATATTAATTGATAACTTTTATATTACTACAAGACTATAACAAATTGATGTTCAAAATTGGCCATGAAAAAACCCTTTTCAAATTAAAGCAATAAAACTTTTACATTCCTAATTGTTAGGAACTAGCCATATATAACCTTCATAATCCTATCATAACATTCTTAATTTTATATCATATTAAAGAATGAATGAAGAAGAACTATCTACCATACGTCACCTCTAGTAAGCAGCTTGTCGGTACATACTAAAACTATATTCTTTGAAACAAATAAGAGGTGTCCACTAATACTGTGTGGGCATAATGCATGTCTACAAAATCATGATGCACTCTATTATGAAAGCGATCAACCCAAGATCATATTAGATCATCCATATAATAATGTCGAATGTTGTTAATTAGTCTATTTGTGTGATAGAGGGACCTTTAGAATCGTGTTTATAATTATTTAATGCCGACTAGACTTGATCTAAAAAGAGGGTCGACTCTTATGATGGATGTTGGCTAATTGAGCTCCACCAACTCATATACTCGTGCGTTTGTAACTAATTAGAGCCACAAAAGCCTACAAAAAAAGGTGAGTTGAGGGAACATAAAGAGGGTCCAACATTAGAGTGGGATAAAATATGTTGTGAGAATTATATTGCATGTTAATGATGATAGAATTGAGTTTTGGCATTTGGAGAAAATATATCTAACAAAGACAATTTTATGCAAGGATGACATAACTATTGATTTCTTGTAAAGTAGGGGACCTATATATCATATGGTATGATTCACGTGCTATACTAATATATAGGCCCCTTAAGCATGCATATATGTGCATGGTCATGATAGAGTATAGAACATATTATCGGACTTCAATCATTAGTTTAATTAATCTTTTTGTTGAATTGATCCTCTAACGTAATATCAGAGCCAACGTGATAAAAAAAAAAAAAAAAAGTCACGGGTGTAAATCTTATCGACTCCTCGCTTTCAAGTGAAATATTTCGCGCAGGGTATTTTGATTGAGTTACTCCTCTAATAATGGATTACCGGCCTGTATGTCCTAACTTCTTATGCACTTTTCCTTAAACAAAACATGTATATGTCTAGGCTAGATAGCCATGCTTGGTTTTCAGATATAATGTCAATACACAATTTATGACTTATTGTTGAGCATTTTGAGTCATGTTTTCACAAATGGGTATTTAGCTCATTTGCACAAACGAGAAATTGTGCAAGCTAAGTAAGAAAATTTAAATAAGTTAATTTGCTCATTTTATGCAAATAAATAAGCAAATATGATAACTTGTTTTATTTTACAAGGAGCAAAAGATTGAGTAATAAAAGTTGACAATGTGAGATTTTAGTAAGAAATATTGAGAGACATAAATTATTAGTACTCAAAAAGTCTATATCCGAACACAAAGACAAATTAGATGTCAATTTACAGCTATTTGTCCCCAACCTTTAATCCATGGCAAGGAATAAGCCAACTTATGAGCTACATACTACATTATTACACGTCCAACTAGAAAAACACCACAAAACACTAGCAACAGCCTTATAAACGTGAAAAATATCATCAAACAAATGGTGAGAACTACTCTAGCTTTTCTTGTCAAAAAAAATCAAAAAAATTTGTGTTTATCTTAATAAATCAGCCACTTTTTTTTTAATGACTTATCTGTTCATAGTTTCACATGCTATGAAACTATCTTTTCTATACAATGGTTGAAGAATTGCTACAAATTCACAATGCGAATGCACCCTTACAAACCTCACTTCTCAAATGATAATGCTTAATCCAAAACCATTTGGAAAAATTGACAAGAATAATCCCAACTTTGCTCGATTCACTCAAAATAATCTCAACTTTCAATTATTTTTATTAAAAATTGCTCTCATTAATCTGAACTTTGTCTCGTCCGCCCAAATTAATCCGAACTTTTGATTATTATCTATCACTCCCAACTTTAGGGGGTATTAATTTCTATTGCATCCAACACGTCACCCAACCTGATGTAGCAGGTTACCTAGACACGTGTTAGCATTGATTCGCTTAAAAAATAAAAATAAAAATAAAAATAAATAAATAAAGTTAAAAAAAAATTAAATAAAAAAAACACCTTCTTTCTCCCTTCTCCCCCTTCCCTCTCTGCTTCCTCCCCCCATCCCTTCCCTCACGGCCACCAGCAATTAGACGGCGCCAGCACTACCTCCCCTTCCCTTACCTCCGTATCGCCGCCTCCCAGCCCACCTCCCCGCTTCCCCTTCCCCTTGCGCACTTCACACACGTACTCCACCAACCTCCCTGCTTCCCTTTCCCTACAACTCCACCAACTTCCTGTTGCAACCACGACCACCAGCAACAACCTTGCAAACCACCTCCCCTTTCCTCTTTGATCACCTTGCAAACCACTCAAAATCCCCCAAATCTTAACCCTTAACCCTAACATTCAAAACACTACAAAAACGGCGATGAAATCAGCCACCAACGGCCGAAATCGGCCGATAAAAGGTTGAAATCAACCATTCAACCACACTATCGACTGATTTCGGCCATTTGTGGCCAATTTTGGTGGTCGATTTTGGGGAGGGGGGTTGTTTTATGGTGGGGAAACAGTCGTGTAGTGGGTGTGGTGGCTGGCCAATTTCGGCCATTGTGGTGGTCGATTTGGTGAGGGGGTTGTGATGGGTTTTCGGTTGTGGTGGGCAAAGGGAGTGCGTGTGGTGGCTGGTGGCGAAGGGAGTGCGTGTGGTGGCTGGCTGCTGGGTTGCGTGAGGGGAGAGTGTGCGCTGGTGGTGGTGGTGCGGTGGTGGAGGTGGGGCAAGTGCTGGATTAGTTTTAGGAAATTAATTTTTTTTTTGTTTTCATTTTTCTTTTTTTTATTTTATTTTCTTTTCTTTTCCAACCAATTACATATTGGCACGTGTGCAAAAAAATTTAATTCACAAATGTTAACCTTATTAACCGGTTTCAGGTAAATTGGGTGCAATAGAAATTAATACCCCCTAAAGTTGGGAGTGATAGATAATAATCCAAAGTTCGTATTAATTTCGGCGGATGAGGCAAAGTTCAGATTAATAGGAGCAATTTTTCCTTATTTTTAAATAATCCGAACTTTAATGTGATTTTGCTTCTAATGGTCCCAAGTGACCTTTAACCTATTGAATAGGTAAATTTTTTTAAAAATAGATTTAATTATATGTGTCACAAACTGATTAGTCAAAAATAAATTTTAATTTTAATTTTTTTAAAGAAAATAATTAATTATTAATTAACATCTAACTAACAATTTTAAAACTAAATTTTTTAAAAAATAATTACAAAAAAATAAGTAATTTCTATAAAAAATCAATCTCCACTACCAGCAGCAGCAACTCGAGCCATCCCCCGCCCTGACGACCGGCCACGCCGCACCCAACTTCACCATTTCCAGTTTCCACCGTCGCCGGCCACCCTCACTTTCCCCATACCCTACGCCCACGGCCATTGCCGCTGGCCCGCTGCTCAATCTCCCTTTCCAACGCACCGATTTGTTTCTAAATCATCACCGTCGCAGCAGCCACGCACACACCGAGTATCATCTTCGCAGCTTAGCATCCCTCGCACCAGCATCCACGGCTCCACGCACAGCATCGCAGCTCGAGGGGAGCTATTCATGGTGGGTATTAAGGGGTTAGGGGTTGGTTGGGTGGTCGCGCAGCGAGGATAGGTCGATAGGAGAGGTTCGGGTAAAGGGAAAAGGGTGGAAATGGATCTCTGCCGGCGTTGGAGGTTGGGGAGGCTGGTCGCTGGCGTTGGAGGTTGGGGAGGCTGGTCGCTGGTGTGGCCGGTCGCCGGCAGGGGTGGCGGCGAGAAGTGAGGTATGGCTGGTCGAAAGAGGGGTGGTGCAGTGGTTTTATTTTCTTAATAATTAATTTTTAATTGTTTTTATCCTTAAATTTTGTTTAATTTTTTTTGAACCAGTCACATGCTGACACGTGTCATGTGACTTGTGAAAACAAGTTATTTAACCAGTTGGGTCCATTAGAAGCAAACTCACATTAAAGTTCGGATTATTAAAAAATAATTGAAAGTTGGAATTATTTTGGGCGAATAGAGCAAAGTTGGGATTATTCTTGTCAATTTTTCCAGACCATTTTAACCGCGATTCCTCTCAGATGCTACGACAAGCACAACACTAATATGTTAATGTTAGGAAGTCAAGTGTCATATTCTAACTATAATTATAGCTAATTTCACATTCAATATTGTCTTTTCATGATTGTAATTATTAGAAATTTTTTTTTTTTAAAAAAACAATTTATCTCACTATCTCTTATATTATGGAATTAAACACACTTAATTGGTATGTAAATGAGAAGGCGAGTATTAAAATAAGGGTAAGTTGATCTATGGTATAAACTATGTATTGATAATACTCTATACATAGTCTACCAATCATGACTTTTTTATTTTTAATTTATTTTATATAAGTATAACTGGTAATCAAAATCCTATTAGATTCCAACTAATTTGATTTTGAGCTAAGTCAAGCCTCAACTGGGGCAAAAACTTTCCTACAAATGCATTAGCATTCCCAAGTCTTGAATTTAAAAACCTTAATTAAGCTAAATCAATCCCTTACTAGCTGATTCAAAGCTAAAATCAATCCCTTACTAGCTGATTCAAGTATTTGTTGGCTTTGCAATGCCGAATTATTATTTGTTAATATAATATCATGAATTTTCATTGCATTTTATACAAGAAATTAAGTGTAACTAATATGTTATTAGCAGTCAAGTGTTATTGTCAATTACGTACATTTCTTAACTTAATCTCACAATATTAAAACTTTTCTATTAAATAATTAAAAAATTAAATAAAAATAATAATAATAAAAATTGATCTTCCATGAAGATCGGAGGCCAAAGCACAACCTTATGTATAAAATTGCCCTATACTTATACTTATAACTAGGATTATTATATTTTTGATGTTAAAGTATATTACATTATTATGATTATTATGAGGTGTTTTATATAATTATATTTGCCTCTTCATTCATAGGATGACTAATAGCAATATTTTAGTGTTATAAAAGGGTCACCGAAATTTGTAGGTCTTTGATAGGTCACATAAAACGATGGTACCACGAAACAAACTATGCCCTTTGACTTACCAACATTGCTTTATAATTGGAGACAAAATCTTATCTTCACTAAACTATCATTATTATTTATTTGTAATCAAACTATTATGGAAGAAGTCATAACTAGTACGCAGTATGCTTATTATGATTTTGACTAGAAAATACTTGGTTTTTAATTTGTGTAAGCATGTCAAACCATAAAATATTGTGGGGGTCATAATATATCTTGGAAAATCTTTCTTACCCTATAGAAAAATTTATAGATTATAAATTTGAATTATCCTTCGAGGTTCATTGTAACCATTTTTTTATTTTTTTTATTTTTTTTTTGAAGAAAAGGTTCATTGTAAATTTGTAACCCTTGAAGAAAAGCAATGCCAAGAACTAACATGAATTGCGTTTGTACATTGTAATGCAAAGAAAACTTCTACATTGCTTATAATTTCCTTTTTTAGAATTTGTTTTTTTTTTGTTGGGTGAAATGAAAAGATAAAATTTCCTTATCAACATGCAATTTTTTTTGGGAGTTTATCAATAGGCAAAATAGCCATCTTTAAAACATAAATCATACGATTGTTGTACTAACATAGAAATGTTATACATATTTGTTGTTGGAAAAAAAAAAAAAAAAGGTTATTTGTTTTATATGTAGCTGTGAACATGTAAATTTTGTATCCTTAGACAAATTTGTCATCAAAATTATGTAAGTTTTTAATTTTAAATTAAATTGCTCAATTACATACAGAAAATGTTTAAGCATGAATTATTTCAATGTTAATTTGATTAATTTCATTATATGGAGTACATCCTTTTGTTCCTATGTACTTGATCTGTTCTTGTCATCGCTAGTAAAAATATAATACATTTTTATTTAAAAATATAATACATTTTTTTAAAATAAAAATATAATAAACCAAACAAAGAATATAATGAAAATTGATTCTATAATAATACTAAAGGTTAGATATTATGAATTTCAATAACAAGTACATCATGTAATTTTTTCTTGAAAAGGACATGACATAATCATGATCTTGATATTGTTCTAAATAAAAAACTTCTTCTTCATAGTTTGATATCTTGTTGTCCAATAAATATTGAACCTTTGATTTGCTCCTCTTGAGTCTTATAGTTTGATTTCTGGTTGTCTAGTGAATATTGGTCCCTTGATTTGTTCCTCATTAAGTGTGGTTTTAGCTTATCGACATCTGATGACCTAACCGGCTTTAGGAAAAATTCATTTGCACCCTCCTCTAAGCACCTGCACCATACATTATTAGTCGATTTTCGTGCTAACGCACAATTAGAAGTTAAGAAATTATTTGGTGTGATAAATAAATTATTTTGGCGAATAAAAAAAAATCTCCTTTTTTTTTTTTTTTTTTTTTTTTTAGTGGTATTTCTTGGAAAGGAAATGAAAGTGTACATGTCTATACATTACCTATTTATTCTATCCGGAATATTTTCAGAGGACATAATCACCACTGGAATATCTTTAAGATTTTCAGACTCCTACAAAATCAAATCAAAAATATATATTACAATCAACTTAAGTATATCAAGAAAATAAAATCATGCAAAAGGATTATAAAAATCTTCAATATTCACCTTGATTTTCCTAAGGAGATCATATCCAGTCATTCCAGGCATACAATAATCAGTGATTATCAAATTCACCTGCAATTCCTAGTCAAAATCAACCACAATTAAAATTAATTACAATAACATAAAATTTATAATTAGTTAAAAAAATAAATAAATTAGGGAGTATTTGTTCGTTGTAACGTACATTTCCTTGCAAACCCAACAACTCTAATGCTTTGGTGCCTGAATCCACTGCGGTTACTGCATGCAAACAACAAGAGTAACTTGACATTTTAGTATTTTACCATACTTTTATAGGGTTTTAAATTAAATGGTACGTACAATTTTTGACATAAAATTAAACAATGGTAATAATTAATGTAGGCGAAATTTAATTTTAACTAAAATCGAGTAAATAATTGATGCATAGGAATACTTGTATTTCAAAATAAAATAACTCAAAATTCGTTTGAATTTTTTTTAAATGTACGGACCATCTAGTTGCTAGAGAGAATCTCAACCCATTTTCGAAGGATTGAATTTGACAAAAAGAATGCAAATTACAAGTAACTAACCTTGGAAAGAGGATGTGGTAAGGAGCCTTTGAATGAGCATTCTATCAATGTTGCTATCATCAACGGCTAGGACATGAAATTGAGTATCGATAGCCATACTCGACGACTACAACTTTAAGAAAACAATGTATGGTAAAGAAGAAAAACACGACAATTCGATCGATTGGTATATAGGTAGGAAGATGCACACTCTTGTGGTTGATAACTTTGAAGAAGGGGTGACTAGTAGTGTTTATATATACATGTTAACGTGTGATATGGCTAATAAAAGCTTGTATAGGATCTTTACAGTTTGGAGGAGATATGGGACAAAATAATATTATTGATATGAATCACTATCTTCTGATCTTTTCTTATTGATTTTGATATTATGCTGATAGTATACAAAGAACAAAGAAGTTTCTTGCTATGTTTCCAATTTGAATTTTATTATAATATTAATATTATGATCTCTTTTTTTACTTGGTGATGCTTTGACTGTTAGAAGGAAGATTTAGGCCATAGTAGATAGCTTAATTATGCTCTTAAGGGCTTATTAAGGGTTAATTAAGATATATTATCCTCTAATTTTGGGCTATATAATCATGGATAATCAACAAGAACATCTCCTCTTGATCCTCTTGGTTTGATTCCTAAAATTGTTGATTTCCTAGCAAGATCATGATTGACCATTTCTGGTTTATAAGTTTCATAGAGATCTCACCAGTGAGAGTCAAGTTTTGTATCACACTTTTATTGTATAAATTATTATTTGCACCAAAAAAAAAAAAATCATGTACTTACTGATTAGGGGATTTTTATCCACCAAGCGCCGTTTGACAAGTGGACCAACCAGGTTCCGCCACGCGTCCTCCACGGACCACTTAAGACACGCCACGTGTCCACCCATGCCAAATGGGACAACCGGCCATCAAGGCCCATTTCAGTCTAGAAGCCCGTTCGGCCCTAGGTTTACCTTAAACCTCGAGAGTTGCACGCTTCCCAAGGCTATAAATACTCGATTAATCCTCATTAATCGAGGGACCGAATAATTAACGGAACGGAGGAGAAACATTACGGAACACACTAATAACCGGCTGATCTCGCTAGCAAAGCAGATTACCTACATTAAATACTCTCACCTAGAGAGACCTTATTACTTTAATTTCTGTATTAATTACTCCTTAATCAGGTACTAACTTGACCGTTGGAGGCGGAGCTCTCAGGAGTCTCCGTTATTTTGCAGGTACAGGCGTCCGGTTCCAGTCTCGGAATTGTAGCTCTCCCGCAGGACATCAGAAAACCCCGAAACATTTGGCGCCGTCTGTGGGGAGAGTACTTCAGAGATGGCATCCAAGTCTGTACCGACCCCAGAAGAGAGGCGTCCCCTAGACGACCCTCAAGTTCAGTCGGACCATGATACCGAAAGTGAATTTGAAGTTGAAACTCATACAGCTCCAGACGGGACCCTAAGGGCCCGCCGTACCCGTCATACTGAAATAAGGGAACGGGAGTATCTTCAAACAGGAAGCGAGCCAGCAGGCGCACCGCTTGCTCGGCAACAGCCGACTGATGGGTCTGCTCCCATCACAAGGAACGAACTCATGACCTTCATGAGGGGATTCAAGGGAGAGATCCAAGAGTTGATCAACAAAAAAACCGCCTGCTTCAGTCAAAGAGCAGGCGGCCAAAAAACCTTCCACTTCACTGAAGAGGAAGCCAGTTCAAGGGCGAGAGGCGACTCCCCATCCTAAATCTAAGAAGCGGGAGCCGTCTGCTCTTGATTTCACAAAACTCCGTTATTCTACGGGAAATAGGAAACCGGTTCGTCATATTCAGGCGGATGGGTCAAAGCAAACGTTCACAGATGCTCGGCACCTGCTAGAGCAGAAGAAGAGTGACCGATTATCAGAGTCGGCTTCTACTTCAAATTTTCAGGACAGTTTGCGAAATGCCTCGATGAGGCCAACTCAGTCGTACCATGAGAGTCAGTCAGGCGGCACCTCCCGTCAGTCTGGCTTTCATAGTGCGCAGGCGGTACCAAATTTGCCATTTGTGCCGCAACAACAATATTTTATGCAGCCACCTCCATTTGGTGGACCTGCAGCAAAAAACGTCCAACCTATGGACTGGCAGCTACGGCTGCTTAGACTTGGTGAACAGCCGTCGGCCTTCTCCAAGGAAATTACTGAAGCCGCTCAGCCGGCCAAAGTAAAAAATGTTTTAGTAGGCGCCTATGATGGCACTACTAACCCGGAAGACCATCTGATGGCATTCACCAACCTGATGTACCTTCAAGGGTTGGATGATCCCACTTGGTGCAAGTGTTTTCCCAGCAACTCTCAAGGGAATTGCACAGCAATGGTTCGGCAACCTGCCGACTGGTTGTGTAAACAGTTTCAGGACGCTTGCTTACTTATTTGCCTCCAACTTTGCAATGAACATCCCTGCGAAGAAAACGACCCTTGATTTGGGAACAATTCAGCAGGGTGAAAAGGAGGGGCTTCGTTCCTACATCAGGCGGTTCAACCTGATGAGAATACAGATTCAAGGGTTACCGGATGAGGTAGCTTATACTGACTTTTTTAGAGGTCTCAAAGACGGGTCTACCTTCAAATTTGATTTAGTTCGAAAAAGGGTGGCGACTCTTCAAGAGGCCTTGATTGAAGCAGAAGCCTATATACAGGCGACTGATCTGTGTACAATGAAACAGTCGGACGGGAAGAGGTTCGACAATAGAGAAGGACGACAGAAACAGTCGTCCAACAAAGATGAAAAAAGAAAAGGGGTCTGGGCGGCTGATTCCTCTAAACAGCCGGCCAAGAAGAAAAAGGAATTCAAACCATACTCCCCAAAGTATGTGTTTAACAAGGATAACCAGTTTATCCTAAAAGAAATAAAGGGACGGCTCTCAATTGAGAAACCGCTCCCCATGAAGGGTTCTGCGAGCAACCGGAACCAAGACAAAATCTGTGCTTATCATGATGACATTGGTCATCACACCAACGACTGCATTAGTCTCATGCGGTACCTAGACCGCTTGGCTGATCAAGGTGATCTTGACACTTATGTCAAGAAATCTACGGGGAATACTTCCTCAAAAAAGCAGTCGGCCAAAAAGAATCAACAGGCCGACAGTTCCGATACAGATGATGCAGTCGTCTACACCATTGCAGGCGGCTTCTCAGGAGGCGGCCCCACTATTAGGGGCAACAAAGATAATATAAGGCGGTTAGATGTAAATTCCGTTCACCAAGAACGACCGTCCAAATATACATTTCCTGAGATTGTCATCACTGAAGAGGATCTAGGAGGAATAAGGGGGCCGCATGACGACCCTCTCGTTATTGAATGTAAAGTGGCCAACCAGAGAGTTGGTCGAATCCTCATAGATACTGGGAGCTCTTCAGATCTCATCAGCAGCAAATGTCTGTCAAAACTGAAATATCAGACGGACTGCATACATCCGGCCTCCCACCCTTTAATAGGGTTTGGAGGAGGAGTCGTCCACCCACTGGGACGAGTTGATCTACCCGTCCGCCTGGGCGAAAAAGGGGAAGGACGACACATGGTAGTCCGATTCCTAGTTGTAGAGGAACTCTCTGCCTACAACATGATTCTGGGTCGCCCAACCCTGAATAGTGCCAAGGCTGTTATAATCCCGTCACTTATGCTGCTTAAGTTTGAAAGGGACAATGGAACAGTCGGCTCCCTAAGGGAGATCAGAGGATGGCCCGAGAGTGCTATCTCTCGGATGTCAAACCCACTGCTAAGGCCACTGGCTCAAGTGGAGAAAAAACAGACCTTGACAATGTCAAGGAAAGTGCGCCTGTTCAAGAAACAAGCGACAGAAAAAGAAAGGCGTCCCAGACAGAGTCCGCCAGAAAGGCAAGAAAATAGCAATCATTGGCAGAGGACCGGCCGGATGAGTTCCGCCCTCAGCCGGCTGGTGAGCATACGGACCTGATATTAGACGACTCCCGCCCTGTCCGAACAGTCAAAGTTGGGACGACTGCTCTGAGAAACCTTGGTGATGACTTTCACAACCTGTTGAAAGAAACAAGGACATCTTTGCATTTGAAGTCCATGAAATGCCAGGCATTAGTCCTGATCTGGCAGTACACAAACTCGCTGTGGATCCGAAAAAGAAGCCGTACGGCAAAAGAAGCGGAACCATGGTGAAGAAAGAGGTCAGGCGGCCGCCGCCGAAGTCAAAAGATTACTTGATGCAGGGTTCATTCGGCAATGTTACTTCCCAGATTGGGTTGCAAATGTGGTACTTGTTAAAAAGCCGAATGGCACCTGGCGAATGTGTGTAGACTACACAGACTTGAACAAGGCGTGCCCCAAAGACAGTTACCCTCTGCCAAAAATTGATAACCTGGTCGACTCAACAGCCGGCCATGCCTTGATGAGTTTTATGGACGCCTATTCTGGTTTTCATCAAATTCCTTTGTGGAAGAAAGATCAGGAGAAGACGGCCTTCGTCACTGATCAGGGATTATACTGCTATACGGTCATGCCGTTTGGTCTTAAGAATGCCCCGGCTACATTCCAACGAATGATAAACACAGTGTTCTTTGATCAGATTGGGAGAAACGTCGAGGCATACATTGATGATATGATTGTTAAGACTAAACTTCAGAAAGATCATCTGACGGACCTCCGAGAAACTTTCGCCACACTCAGGCGGCACCATGTCATGCTCAATCCCAAGAAATGTGTATTTGGAGTTGAGTCTGGGAAATTTCTCGGATTCCTTATCAACCAGAGAGGAATAGAGGCGAACCCTGAGAAGGTACAGGCGGTCATTGACATGCAGTCGCCTCGTACCGTCCGAGAGGTTCAGAAGTTAACAGGTTGTCTGGCGGCCTTGGGAAGATTTCTAAGCCGATCAGGCGACAAATGCCTATACTTTTTCCAGGCAATTAAGAAAAAGGCAAGGTTTGAATGGGGGCCGGATGCTGAGGCCGCCTTCCAGAAATTAAAGGTTCACTTGCATTCCTTGCCAAGGCTGGTCAGCCCTTTGCCCAAAGAAAATCTCTACATGTACCTGGCCGTCTCTGATCATGCGTTAAGCGCGGTGCTCCTTGCTGAAAGGGACGGCTGTCAACTTCCGGTCTACTTTGTCAGTCACGTACTGAAAAATGCCGAGTTGAGGTATCCCCTAGTGGAGAAATTTGGTCTTGCACTCTTCATGGCTGTTAAAAAATTGAAGCCCTACTTTCTGGCACATGCAGTCGTCGTGTATACCGACCAACCGATCAAGCGGCCCCTTACCACCATGGAGTCCTCCGGACGAATGATCAAATGGGCCATAGAAATGCAGAGTCTCGAAGTTACTTTCGAGCCTAGAAAAGCAGTGAAGGGCAAGCCTTTGCTGACTTTATTGTAGAGATGACTCGTCCTC